CTTTCTTTGTTTTCTGTAGAGTCCATTTGGTCAACAACAACAAAAAACTGTCTTCCTGTCAGTCCTCAGCAATTCGTCAGTAATGCACTGAGATGTATGCAATTCTTAATCTCAGGTTTGTTTCTTTCCCAACAAGGGCTTTAATGTGCTTTGCATGCCAATGCAATCGTGACCACTGCTGTGGAGGCGATGATGGCATGTGGCAGAGAAGTAACTGTTTCTCACCTCCTAATAAAAGAGACTCCTTTTTAATCTTTTCAATTTGATTGCATTCCAAAACAGGCCTGTCTGCCCATCTGTCTCTCTTAAAGAAGCCTCCTAAAGGGATTTTAATCATCTGGCTCTGGGCTTCTCAGGCAAATAACTACATATCTCTCTTTCTCTTTCACACATACACATGCAGAAACAATTTCCAATTTTTTTTGTACTCACTGTCAAAGTTTTACTTGTCTTTTCTCTTTGATATACTATATTGTCAGAGCCTCATCGCGCCATGTCTGTGCCGCCATTAGGCCCTTCAGTTGCACTTCAAGTCCCCCCTCTGACGCATAAAATTCTCCCAGCTCTGTCCCTTTTAATCCGCATGGCTCTAAATTCTTTATTTCCCTTCAAAGGGACAACCCAAGCCGTAACATCAATCACGGAAAGCGAATATTTAGCTGGCGCTAATTTCCACCAATAGCCTGGAGACAGGCTTAGCTGACAAAACTCATTCCTGTGCTGAACAAAACTGCTTGTGTTGAAATCTCCCCTCCCCCTGATCCCTCCTGCCTTCTGCACAGGCAAAAACAGCATCACAATAAACACAGTTAGTGCTTCTGTTACTCCCCGTTGATTTGGGCTTGTCAAATGAATGTGCACCATGGAGGGATACCCTTTGACAATACATAATGGATCCATTCTGCATGAAATGGTTTGGTAATACCAGTCGAGTGTGGCAAACGGCTTTACCCGGTGCCACTACAAGAACAGCTGCTGTGTTCTTAGCTGGGCAAGCGCACCACACTGCTTCACCCTTGAGGTTGTTTGAATCGGGTGAGTGATTTCTTTTTGCCGGTTCCCAGACTCCATTCACAATCCTTAGTTTCTCACTAAGTTCTGTTTGAATGAGTGCACATTTGCCACAAGTTGGGTCTTATAAACTATTTGACCTGTTTTCTTGCTCCTCTGAGTGTGAGTGGGAAAACCCAGAGTGGAGACTGAAGGAGGCCTTAGAAAGGGGGATGGGCAAGTTAGGGGCATTTTGAGGGCACTCCTTTGTATAGTTTGGAGAGGCCCCTTATGGTATCTCTTATTCCCACCCCTTATGCACAACACCGTCTACCACAGCTGAATCTGTGCCAGTCAGTCAGGTTATTTCAGATGAATAACTGGGCACTATAACAAATTCTATCCTTTGCAATCACTATCTACTCCCAATATTGATGCCTTACTCACAATGGTATGGTGACAAAAGAGTGTGTTTGGCATCAAGCCAAAGTGGTCAATAGGGCACAATCACTTAACACACAAGGCTGTGGCAGTTAGACGTTTTTTTGAGAACAGTTAAGACATACCGTAGTTTATTGAGCATCCACACTGGCTTCATGATACAGGTGGATTGTGTAGTTCAATCAGACACTGATGTGTGTTAAGCTCTAGCATTGATAGTCATTAAACTGCATCGATTGTCTGCTCTAAAATGCCTTTACAGTGCCTGAGTGAAACTGAGTTTGCATGTTTAAGAAAGAAAGAGAACAGTAGTGTTGCTGGTTGGCATTGTTAGATTTTCAAGACGCCTATCAATGAATCTTAAAACCATTATTAAGGATGAATACCAGAAATCTGTGCTTCAACAAATACAGAGATGTAATCTGATACAGTGGATTATTGTGTTTTTTTTTTCTCTCCTTGGTACACAGTTCCTTTTTTAGGGCACAAAAAACCCTTGTGCTTCCTTCCACCTGTGAGTTTTGACAAAAGTGTCAACAAGTCAGATCTGATTTTAAAGGGCCTAAGCTTTTAATCTGAGGACAAAAAATCCCATTGGTGTTTAATAAATTACTAAATCAGCTATCAGGATTCTAAAGCCTTATTGTGAGCCTATTCCAACGTGATTCCATTACATGCTAGGAAACCTTGTTCACCTTAATTGGCTTTGATTGTTCTGTAAGCTATAACCCTTTACCGCTTTTGCTTTATCTCCAAATTATCTTAGTTGTGATTGAGGACTGATGAGAGTGGATGTCCGTGATAAAAAAAAATGTCATAGAACTACTTATGACTCCATCTGTTCTGTTCAGTATTAAGGGACCAGGCAGTGTGTCTTTCTGGAAAAGCTTAGCCACTGGTTCATTCATTATTTAGAACCCTCTTCACAAGCCCATTGTATTAAAGGGGTATGATTTGAATAGGAAGTAGCTTCCTGGGCCCAAGTGTGTGATGTGTGTGTTCCTCTGTCATTGTATGTTTCTGTGGGCTTCATTCGTCTGCCTCAGCAAGCCAGGGGGCTGAAAAAAATTTCCATTTTATGAATATTTAATACATAATAAAGTTTTCAATTTTATTCTGTTCAAGCTGTAGGGGTAAAAATGTTGCAAAGCCAACCCTCAAGGACAGAACTCAGAATAAAGGTGGTTGGTTTGATGGAGGCGTCAAAAATATGGTTAACATCAGCTCACTGCTTTGTCATCTCCTATAATACACTCACAAACATTAGTACCACTTTACTTCTACATCCTATAAGGGTTTTATTTTGTCCCTTTTCTCCACTTTACACACTCTCCTTATGCTGCATTACTATAGGATCATAACATATCCAGCCTGCCCGCTGCGCCTATGTTGACCTGCCATAGCTCTGTGTGAGACACCCAGCTGGGAGTGCCTCTGAATCAACTTGGGATTAGCCCAGGATTGTCTGGGATTACTCGGGGATGGAGGGGGATTAGCAGTGACTGCCTGTTTCGGGGGTGTGAGGGCCATGGGCTGGCAAAATTGCCCCTGACTCAGGGAACAGGAGGTAAACAGAACCACACCTACAGTCAAACCACCTGCAATCTGAGCTATGCTTAAATTCTAAAACTTACACTCACAAACAGAAGGTCTGGGAAAATGCATGTGTTGGAATCTCTATATCAGATAGCCAGTAGTCAGTTATGATGATGGTGTTGATGCCATGGCTGGGCACCATCTGAAAATCTCTCAAATCTCTCTAGCAGGTGGATTCATCAGATAAAGAGGGTTTGGGTTGACAAATCCCTTCAAGTTCAATGAGGCTGCTCTTCTCTTATAGGGGGATAAATTGAGATTTGAATCCGACAGGTCACACAGAGTGGAAGGGCAAAGTAGTTCATTTCTCTGAATGTTGTCCCATTTACAACCACCTTTTGTCAAATGGCTTGAAAGCTTACAGATGTTTTGATTTTGGTACACACACCACTTGATGGGGCACGATTTGGAGTAGTATGATAGGTGGAAGATACAAAGATCGAGACAGGGAGTTGGCGCGGCACGTAGTGAAGCCGTCAGAAGCATGGAACGGGCATCCCCTGTGGACATGCACTGCCAAGATGAAAGGCTGCTTAGTGTTGGAGCAGCAGCATCAAACAACCGCCTCCTCTTGCATCCTTTTCCCCATCCCCCACTCTCCCTCCATTTCTTTCTCTGACTCTCTTGACTCTCACCACAATATGATATAGTTCTGCTGCTTCACGTTTACCCGGTTGCCATGGTTACCCAATGCTGAAGGTGTCACAGCAAGATAACCCAAGGAGGCATTCACAGATCACCTGAATTCAGCTTGCTTCCCATTTATGTGTTTTCCTCACAGCAATTTGATTTATTTGTTTCCCTGTTGTGCAATTCTCTGAGAATACAAATAATCTGCAGTATAATAGAGATGGTGGAAGAATGAGAACCTCTCAATCTGTAATAATCTATTGTGCTAGTATATTCTCAAACATGAAAGGTTTTTGATTTGATATTTTCCTGGTTAATAGTCAAAAAGACTCATGCACAATGAACAGCAGAATTGCAACACCACCACCAACCTTGGAAATATAAATGATAAGAAAAAAAATCCAACTTGATTCTATAAATCACTGAGCCATTGACTGTACTTGCAGACGTAGAGGATAATGGGAAAGTAATTGGTGGTACACTATAATTGAAGGGAAAGAGATTGAACGCAGAGGTGGAAAATGACTTACGTTCAAAGAACTGTGTAAAATAAGAAAAAGGAAAATTTAGACAAGTTGAAATATGTAGCACTCAGTGACAAAAGAGAAAGCAAGGCTGTGATAAAGACTGAACACGAGAGGGGGAGAGAGATAGGCACTGAAAGTTGATGTCAGAGGGTTGGATACATCCATTAGCCTTGCTTGCTCCTGGCTCAATCTTGCAATACACTCCTCTCTCCAATTCAAGCTATGAGCAAGAGAGACAGGCCTGGCACTAAGCCAGACTGGCACCAACTTCAAACATAGAGTACGCTCAAATTCAGCAGCTTACATCAGCCCTGCTAAAGGAAAAAGTAGAGGAGGACAGATGGATTGATGGAAATGAAAGTGAGAGGATTGATGTGCAGAAGGAAGATCTCTGAAGACTGAGTCTCAGGTTGTTTCAGGTTGGATGAGGCTGACAGGGTCTTGCTTCATGTCAGATGTGGCTGTCCCTGAAAATGATTACTGTTTTGAGTAAGCTTTAAATATTTGACCGGTTGCACTGGCAGCTGACTATCTACAGTACTTAATTTTTTAAATGCCTAATAGTAAACATGAAAGCAGTCTGATAATTTGGTAGAATTTTCTTGGACATTGAATGTTTAAACTTATTGTTTAGTGATAACTGCAACTTTGTTTAGCTTACTTACATTGATGATTTTCTTGGTTGATACATTATTTTCCCAGGAATTTAATTTAAATCCAATGTAAATTGCAGAACTTTGTATTTATCTAAGAAACTTTGTTTGTGTAATAATATTTTGTTCACTTGCTGTTTTCTTTATTTTCATTTCTCAACAGAATTCCATTCGGCACAACCTTTCTCTTCACACACGGTTTATTCGGGTGCAGAATGAGGGGACAGGGAAGAGTTCTTGGTGGATGCTGAATCCAGATGGTGGAAAGATGGGCAAGGCCCCTCGGCGACGGGCAGTCTCCATGGACAACAGCACTAAATACCTGAAAAGTAAAGGCAGGATCAGAGGCAAGAGGGTGGGCCGTCCTGGGATTGGAGCAGGATCTGCTGTAGTGGGCCTCCAAAGCTCCCCAAACCATAGTAGCCCATCACAGAAAGCTCTCCCAGGATCTGGAGGTTCATCAGGAACAGATGGAGAGTTTGATGCTTGGACAGATCTTCATTCCAGGGCTAGTTCATCAGCCTCCACATTGAGTGGGCGCCTGTCTCCTATTCTTGCTGAGGGGGAGCCAGAGGAGCCAGAGGAGGGTGGCTTGTCCTGTTCCACCTCCCCTCATCTTTACCCATCACCAACCAGTGCCCGCTCTCCATCCATGGGGGCAGGAAATCATTGTCCTCCCCTTGAGCAGCTGCCTCAGCTGGCTAACCTAACAGGCGCCATAAGTTTGGATGAGCATATGGTGGAAGATGGTTATCATCTTCATCGTCAACAGCAGCAGCACACAGCTGTGAGCAGACATAAGCACCAAACTGCTGTGTATCACTATAGTTCTGGAATGAAGGGACAGGGCTCCTATGGTGCAAGTGTCTACAATGTAACAGGCTTGGGCATGCTACGTCACCATTCACCAATGCAGACTATACAGGAGAATAAGCCAGCCAATTTCTCTGGAACCACACGGGCGTACTCCAGCACAAATGCTCTTCAGAGTTTACTAACTAGTGGTTCTGCTTGTCAACAATACTGTTCCAAAGACATGATTATGGGACAGGAGAGGGAAGGTCATCCCATGATTGGTCAAGCACGTAATGGAGTAGGATCCAACCATCTCAACCACCAACCTGTCCACCACAATGGACGTCATAGCCATACCAGAACTCACAATCATACTTCTAGTCATAATCATACCAACGTAACCAACCACAACTCACCTCACAGCCTTGCTCACAATGGTCACAGCCTCAGCAGGAGCCATACCCACACACCACCAAGAGCTGCATCTCTGACCCCACGTGGCAACGGCAATCAGTTACAAACTTACAATCACAAAGCTCCCTACTTGTATAGCCCCCCATCCCATGCCCACCTCCCTGCTTCTACTACCCTTCCCCCAAATCCTGCAGGTATGCTTGACATGCCCCAGGACTCATGCCATGTGGCTTCTACCCCACATCCTCGTCACAATCATTATCCAAACTCACAAAATCAGGGCATGACTAATGGACTGTACCACCATGGCCAGGGGATGAGTAATACTAGTGTTGGTAGTAACTACCATGGCTATCACCAGCCTCACCTTCATGAGAGACTACCAGCCGATCTTGACATTGACATGTTTCATGGTAGCTTGGACTGTGATGTGGAGTCTATCCTCCTCAATGACATTATGGACTCTGGGGAGGAGATGGACTTTAACTTTGATTGCTCCCTTGCCCAGGGTGTGGGCATTGGCATGGGTATGGGAATGGGTGTGACTATGGGCATGGGGATGGGAATGAGTGGGCTAGCTGGTCCACAACAAACCCACAGCAACCAGAGCTGGGTACCTGGATAAACAAAAAAGCAAACAAGAAACAGTTCTCCCTACTTTCAAACAGGACAACCCTACTCATGAAGCACTGTGCGCAACTGTGACATTCCTGACTTTCAACAAAGCCTATAGGACCAACACCCCCCATGTCTCTTTGTTGTCCTGACAGTTATTCTGTCACCCCTCCTCTTTTGATCCCCTTCTTACTGAGAGATCTAGTTCATGTCAGATTAATTTTTTTCTTGTATCAGCTGTACTGTGATGACAATCTCTCAGCTGTGCTTGCCCGGCATCGCTTCTCATCTACCCTGAGAACTGAACTCAGAATGCACTTTATCGCAAGTGGGTCACATCTCACGGTGCAATGCCTTCACAGAGCAGATCAGGCAGAACTTGGCAGCTTGGCATGTTTTATAAGGTGGCTGCTACATTTGATTTGAAAAAATAAGGAAAACCTCATATAAAAATGTCAGAATTGGAACTGAAAACATTTGTTTTCAATGGTGTATTTTCACCTATTAGTTGCTGGATAAGTCCCATTCAGGGTTATCTTCAACTAATTTTTTTTTTACCAAATTTAAAATAAAAATGGGCACAAATAGTTGACACCCGGTACATTGTGTCTGCTTAGTTAAATTAGCCTCTATTGTACCTATTAACATTAAATAAATAATTGCCTTGCTTCTTTAAACATTCCAGCAGACATGCTATTTACATCTGCCTGTGTGTAGTCTTTGGTACTTTGACTTTTCTTTTTAATGTAACATTTTGTAAATGCCCATTTGCCATTGCTCAAAGTATATTGCTACCTTGTAATTAAACTAATACTATCATTAGTGGCTAGCATGCAATTTGATGAATTAAATTGTCATATCACCTTGTTTCACCTGGACCACTTGTACCGGTCTGTCTCTCCATCTCACTGTCTGCTGGTGGAGACAAAATGACCATTCCTCACACCAAGCCATTAATGCTGCTTGATTGAAATTCAGCATCTTGCTTTTAATCTGCAAAGTGTTGTTGCAGCATTGTGTCATTATTGAGACATTTAACGTGTTGTCCTTTCGTTTTGGCCCCTGCTGTCCGGACCATTGCTTGTCTCCGCAATGTAATGCAACAAAAGCACTGAGACAAAACAGCGATTACTTCAAGTCACTCTGCCTGCCGTCCTGCTCTGAGAATGGCCAATGTCACTGTCCACTTGCCAGCTCAAAAAGGGTAATAGTAAAGCAAAAGATGGAGACAAAGAAAATATACCTGTTGTTGCAGTGAGATCAGTCAGCTTCAGTTTTCAAGCTCTTTGGACATGTGTGTACGAAAATTAGTAGTGTATTCATATCGTAAATCATCTGCATTATCTGTGTTATGTTTCCATGTTTTCAATACTTATCCCTTGAGCTTCAAGTATTCAAACAGTGCAAAGGGAAAGATATATACGTAGGAAGAAAACAAACAGCCAGTCTGAGTGGTATGAGTGTACATCAACCAGGGTGGTAATGCAACACAGTCATCTACATCTAGTATGTGTCTTTATTCTGTTGTCTTGTAGTTGTTGTATTGTTTAAACACAAAGGGCCAACAAGGACTGGACTGAGTACTGATTGAATCCATAGGTGAAACAATGTTGGTTTAGTGCAGTATGACCTTCCTGAGCTCCAACGACTTTGCATCCCCTCCCATATGTGCTCTGCTCAGTTGTTTCTGCGTTTGTGAGAGGGGAATGTGCAGCTTATTTTTCACTGGCCTTGAGAGAGATGTATAAAGAGGACAACCTTATTCTCTACTTTCCTCAAGGAGACGTTCCACTCTCTGGTCACCACACAAAGAAAAACGTGTATGTGGGGAGGTTGAGGGTATACTGGGGGTTATTTTTACAGCCAAAGGTCAAGCACGGCACAGACTATCAGACCCATTATTGAGGTAAATGTGTTTATTTCAGGCCCTTTAGCTGCGCTGGTTCCAGTTAGTCTTTGTGGAAATGTGTTGAATTTTATAGGTATCCAGGCCTCACAAAGCAGTTATGTTATAGTCTATGCTACAGACGTTTAGCAATCCCTGCTACTGGAAAGAAAGCTATATATGATGTCTAATTTTCTTATATTTATTTATTAAAGAGATTGGTCTTTGTCATTCCTAAATGTGATAGTTGTTTGAGTCAAATCTTGTTCCTTCTCTATTTCTCTCTCTTTTTCTCTCTCTCTCTATCTTTAAAAGTCAATTCTCTCCCTTTGCCCGGTTTACTGACTTTTATTTTGTATAAAATCTATATATTAAAAAATGTACAATAGTTTTTAAAAATCTCAAAACATTATCCGTTTTGTTGTCAATTTCTTTTTTAAGAGAATGTATCTGATCATCCGTTGACTGTTAAATAAATGAAATTTAAAGAAAAAGAAGATGTTGTTGCATTTGTATGAGGCAGACCATGTTGGATTTCATTCTTTCGCAGAAAACACAACAAGGTGACAAATTTATTTTATGATTTTAATCTTCAGTTAGGTTTTCAGAGTTTATTTGTGCTTGTCACAAGTTATTTTGTTATATAAGCTTATATAGAATAACTGGCATTAATGAACACAAGTAAGATGCTTGTTAATTAATTTATTTGTTTTACATTTTGTTTTACTTTTAATACACAACTCTCACATGAGGGTGACAAACAGTGCTGGTCATTTTTGATTGGGCAACATGTCACTGTGTGGGAGGCTGAAGGAGTGGTAGTAAAAAATAAAAAAAAATGAAAGAGAAAAACAATATTGTCTGTATATCGGGAAGCATTCCTGGCACAAAAGCAGCCATGAGAATAAATGTTTTAGCGCACGAGAGATACTTCCTGACAAAAAATGCAAAACAAGGATGCTTTCACAGATCCAAACAGAGTTGCCTGAAATAAAATAGGTTTGCGTGTGTCACAAGGCTTGTTTTGGGCCGTGAATCAGTATAGGTTGGCCACAGCTGTCCGGGTCCCATTGGAGGCGTTTTCACAGGAGGAGCGTGCAGCGCTACAGCGCCATACTGCCAGGCCCCAGGGGAGCCCCCGCCTTTAAACACACACAGGCACACACAGACATAGACAGACACCAAATGTTTACGCACACACATTTGACAATACCATAGTTTCACACATTCACACAAAGAAGCACACAGCTCAGTTACAAAACCACGTACACCCTCAAACAGATATTTCTCACTTAGATGTACACTTTTAATTGACTCTATTTGGCAAATCTTCTCTGTAGGGGAAAAAGTGAGAAGTAGAGAGAAAGAGAACAACAAAGGTGTTGAACAAAGTCGCCAAGCAGCATATATTTATTGCTAAGGATGTCCAAAAAAAAAAAAAAAGCACACAATTAAATAATGGTTTGCATAGTTAGGAGGTGTGATGTCCTCAAGCACGGTACACTGGCTTTATAAGATGTTTTATAATTCCACATTTAGACCAATCTGAGTGTAACTGTGACTGAGAGCCTGGCGTAAAGCCAAAGTCTCACTCTTCTTTGTCTCCTGAGAAACAAAGATTTCAGGGCAGGCAGGAAGGCAGCTCAGTCCAGGTGCGGTGCCTCGGGGACGTTCTGCTCTTCTGTTCCTCATTATCAGAGAGGCAGAGAGAATCTGAGTTACACTGCCATTATTCATCCACTCAAGCATCTGGGAGCAGGTCCTTCCTTGGCTGGTGTGGTGATACTGCTGCAGAGACCGCCCTTGGAGCTGTAAGGGCTGGCTGGGGACACTGTTAACTGCTAACAGACAGACCCACCCAGGCGAGACTCCAGGGTGCACGTGTCCTTGGGAGCTTCGGAGGATTCAGCACTTCTCTCTTTCCAGCTAAGCTCAAAAGTCGAGAACGGTTACATCCCCAAATTAAAGAAATCATAAATTATTATCCCTACCCAAAGGAAATTTAAAATGCAATTTTCTAGAAGTGCAAAGGTTACATGGGTGAGGTGAGCATGAATACAGTGAATTAAGACAATTCAGACAGGATCGTTTTACTGAACAGCAGGGTTATCTTGAGGATTCCAAAGACTTTCCGCCAGACTGACTCCATATGGGAAAAGATTTCAGACGGAACAATATCACCAGGAAGAGAGATGGTGTGTGTATGTGTGGTTGTGGGTGTGTGGGGGAGACATGTTGAATGTTAAAGTCAAGCCAACAGGTTTCAGCAGCATGCTCCTCTGCACCAAACAAGAAGGTATATACAACTGAAAACTTGAAATTGGCATAGTGGGTTTTGTACTTGTTTGATGATTTGGTTTAACTTTACTTGCATGGCACAAATCATTTAACATGTGGAACTCAAAAAGCTAAATCAGTGTCAAATTATTTATGCAGCACTAAAACAGAAGTTGTGTTGAGTAAAATTAAGTACACCCGAGTTAGTCAGAAGGTGGGGTGGCTGTGGCTGAGTGGTTAGAGCAGTCGTCCTCTAATGCGAGAGTTGGGGGTTCGAATCCACCAGCAGTCACATGCTGAAGTGTCCCTGGGCAAGACACTGAACCCCTCATAGCCTCTGATGTGTGCCCCATCAGTGTATGTGATCTAAAAGCACTGATTAGTCTCATTAGAATGATTTGTTCAATTAGCTTTGTAGAGAACTAGTAGAGTGCTGTATGAATGGGTAAATGAGGACACAGATTGTAGTGTAAAGCGCTTTGAGTATCTTGAAATAAGATAGAAAGGCACATTATAAGTGCAGTCCATTTACCATTTATATAAAAAAAGAAGCTTTTATAAGCGATGAAGAGGTAAACTTTTCTGCAAAAGACCCAGTCACCTTCATATATTATGAGAATAAAATCAAATATCTAATAGAAGCTGCACAATTGTAGCAAAAAATGCACATATTTTTAATGTGCATTTTCTTCATATCAAACCTGATATCTTAACATTTACAGTGGTACACTGTATTTGTTTGCTTGTTTGTTAAATATGTATATATTGTTAAATTTGTAAATATGTATCCTTATGTATACTTCCATTAGGTAATGTTAACTAGCATGGGATAAATTGTCATTGTTATGCTGATGATACACAGTTATTTGTCCATGAAACCCAATGAATCCAACTAGTTACTTAGACAGCAAGCATGTCTT